TTTCCCCAGCCTCACCTGCTGCTTCCTGTCTGTCAGAAAGCTAGTAATCCACTGACAGGTGGGGGCAGGCACAGTGAGCTGGGTCAGTTTGGAGTGGAGGATGTCCAGGATGATGGTGTTGAACGCTGAGCTGAAGTCCACAAAGAGGGCCTGTGGATAGGTCCCTGGGGAGTCAAGGTGTTGCAGGATGTAATGCAGTGCCATGTTCACTGCATTGTTCACTGACCTGTTTGCCCGGTAGGCAAACTGCAGGGGGTCCAGCAGGGGGTCAACGATGTCCTTCAGGTGGACCAACACCAGTCTTTCAAAGCACTTCATAACTACAGATGTCAGGGCGACAGGTCTGTAGTCATTCAGTCCACCGATGGAGGTTTTCTTGGGGACTGGAATGATGGTGGAGTGTTTGAAGCAGGAGGGGACTTCACACAGCTCCAGTGACCTGTTGAAGATAAGTGTGAAGATGGGGGCCAGCTGTTACTATTCTGGAATTTTGTCCCATTCTTCTTGGCAGAATCGTTCCAGGTCAGCCAGGTTGGATGGGTGGTGGATGGATGAATGGGATTACTATCAACTCCTCCATGTACTCCTCTTCCTGCACCGGGACAGTTTTTGCCATGGGCTCATTTTCCTCTGGATCAAGTGACACTTTCCCATCTTCTTCTTCTGGCTTGTTTGTCGCCTTCTCGGACTCCTTCCATCCATTTTTGTCTGCTTTATCCGAGACCGGGTCGCAGGGGCAGTATTCCTCGGACTCTGCATCCTTGAATAGTGGGCATTCTAATATCTCCTGCAGGTACTCTTGTTGCTACTGTGGGACTTTCATTTGCAAAGAGACAATCTTTCTTATAGCTTCCTGAAGCTCTTCTTGTAGTCAACTCTTCCACCAGGTCTTCAAAGGCAAGTGCTCTTTCAGTGACCTGTGACCCTTCGTTACCACCTCCTTTGGCTTCTTTCAGGCACATCTCTGGAGAGACCTGAGCTTGGCTGTGTAGCAACACCCCCCATCCCACCTGGCTGACCTGGAATGATTCTGCCAAGAAGAATGGGAGAAAATTCAAAATTCCAGAAGAAAGTTGCTGAGTTTGTAGCTTTATTCTCAAGGAGACCTGAGGCTGTTGTTGCTGCCAAAGGTGCTTTAACCAAGTGCTGAGGTCTGAATACTGATGTAAATGGGACATTTCAGTTTATTTTTTAATAATTCTACAAAACACTCCAGAAACCTGTCGTCTCTTTACCATTGTAGAGTACTGTGTGTAGATTAATGAAAAAAATGAATCTATTTTAAGATGAACCTGAAACATAAAATGTGGTCAACTTGAACACTTCCTGTATGCACGGAGGTTATAGTGCAGCTGCTAAGGAAGTTTCCTTTGTGGGAAACATTTTGATACAGACTTTCTACCTTTTTTTTTTTTTTTTTTTTTTTTCTTAACAGGTCAAACTGAACTGAGATTGAAATGACCGTTGAAGGCAGATATATTAACAGGGCTTTATCAGGATCACATAGCTGTGGCGTTGAAAGGACAGCAGTGTCCCCATAATGGTGTTGTGTTAACCTTTAGCTTTCAAACTCGGGGGACCTGTGACATACTGTAGTATGAAGTCAGGTTTACACTGTCCTCTCTGGGTTCTGGTCTCCGGTCACTGAAACAACCCTTCCTGCTCTGTGTCTTTGTCTCTGTAGAAACAGACTCGACGAGGAGGCGAAGAGCTCTGTCCAGCATCTTAACCGATCACAGTCTAGACTAGTGATCAGACTCACATATTGTAGGGCCAAACATCCTAATTCAGCTTCACATTCTAGTCCACATGTCAGTCAGTAGAGTGCACCAAAGTAATAAAACAAATCCAAGCTGAGTCTGCAGTGTGTCTCTCTGTATCAGGGAACAGTAAGAACAGGGAGAATCAGAAACAGTAAGAAAGAAAATCCTGTCTGGCCAATAGACAAGTTAGCCTTTATGTTCATGTTTATTTGCACAGGGACAAGTGGCATAAAGTGAAGCATGACCAAGTGGCACTTAGCACAGCATATATAGCCTGAGCTAATTTAAAATGTTCACCACTACATGGGCTTTTAAAACACTTAAGCCTCAACCATAAACTCCAGCACCAGCTTTCACACTGATAAAACGTGTAACACACGTGTGTGTGTTTTATCAGGGCAACACCTTAACACATTGAGACCTGCTGCTTTAAAGGTTCTGACTGAACTGTAGGGTGAGTAACACGCTTTCAGGTAGGACTTTATGACAATTCAGGTTTTCACATTTGTAAAAGATTAATTATTTATATTCATTCATTATAAACGATGACAGTTTATTTCATCAGACCCGCTTCAGACACCATTTAAATTCATATTTGTCTGAGGCAGACTGATGGTGTTTATTAACAGAGTTGACTATAAAATAAATGAGTAAAGGATACGTGTAAAACATGAATTTCTCATTGGCTTTTTGGAAACACTGGTGGGATCTGAAAGTGTTACACTGTTCAGTGAAGTGGAACAGCAGAGCATATTTAGAAAGATTAAAATACATATTAAATAAAAATGTGTCGAACCTGTTGTCAGTCTGTTCAGTGCTGCTCAGTTCAACATGCTCATTAAAGACAGGTGAAATTTCAGCATAGAAACGTAAAAGGTGAAAAACCTTTACAGTCAAATAAATTCAGGGAAAATCCCAAATTTTAAAACCTGTCTAAATGAAGTCAGACTGTAGACAGAGTTCACAATTCTTTATCTGGTACTCACGTTCTTAAAACCCCGTTTCCACCGAGTTACAACGTCACAGACGTGTCTACTTGACTGGGGCAGTGATTAAGTGCGAGGTTCAACAGTCACAGCCAGCTGTGTTCTCCTGTCTCACGTGCCTGAAGTCACCTCAGATGGACTTTGGTCATGTCTGAGTCCTCATCTCTTTACCTTTATGTTCATCTCAGTCTTCATCCTCTCTGATCAGACTGAAAGCTGATTGGTCTGCTGTTCTTTCTCTGTCACAGTGGTGGATTGCGGGAGTCCAAAGATGGGCAGCATGGCAGATGTGGTGTTTGGTAACCATGACAACAGCACACTGTTTGGATCGACTGTTCGTTATGTCTGCAGGGACAACACCTTCCAACTACACCCCAACAAAAGTACGAGTGTTAATGCTGTTAAGTGCATTTTTTTTTTTTTTTTTTTTTTTTTTTTTTTTTACAAGTGAGAACATTTTTGTAAGGACAACTGTTTTGTAAAGTTTTATACGTTTGTAAAGTCAGGACATTTTTGTTGAGGATGTTTTTGTTCTCATGGAGCAAGATTTTTGCAAAGTGAAAATATTTTGGTCAAGTGAGAATAAATACTTTTTAATAGCAATTTTATAAAGTGAGGACATTTTGTAGAAATGTTTGTTAAATGAGGAGGTTTGTGTAAAACGAGGATACTTTTTAAACGTGAATGTTTTTGTGAAGTGAGGATGTTTTGTGAACATCTATGTAAAGTTTCTATAAAATGAGAATGATTTTGTAAACAGGATGTTTTGTGAGGTCTGTGTAAAATAAGGACTCAAAGAAAAGTTTTGTAAAGTAATGATATTTTTGTAAACTGGGGATGTTTGTGTAAAGTGAGTGAAGTATAAAGTTGCTATTCTTTTATTTTGGCTGTTACTAAAAACAAACTGCGTTTGTGCTCGTATCTTTACGAGAACCTACAGGAGACTTTAGTCATTTCATATTCACTGGCTGTTTGAGGGTTGACTCAGTTATAGGTTTAGAAAATGTTAGAATTACATTTAGTTTAGGTTCAGGCTTGGAGAATGGATTGTTGTGAAGAGCATCATACAGGTCTATTTGTGTTGCAGGTTCCTACAGCTGTGGTCAGAATGGGCAGTGGATAAATTCAGATGTAGGAACCAAGTTGCCGAACTGTCTGCCAGGTATCTGTCAGGTTTATAAGGCGAGCCCATACACCTGCATCTGAAATGACTATAACGAGGTGTACAAGTTGTTCTCATCGTTTTCTCCTGTGCAGCTTGTGGCCAGCCCTCCCGCACTCTGCCCCCTCAGGTGAAGCGGATTGTGGGTGGTTGGAGTGCCGAGCCCGGCCTATTCCCCTGGCAGATTCTGCTCAGTGTGGAGGATCTGTCTCGGGTCCCTGAGGACCGCTGGTTTGGTTCTGGGGCCCTGCTGTCTGAGTCCTGGGTTCTCACAGCGGCCCATGTCCTGAGGTCCCGGAGAAGGGACACCAGCATTGTCCCCGTGGCCCCTGAGCACGTGAAGGTCAGAGGACAAAAAATGTGATATCAAACTACTTTGAAGTTTGATAAAACAGATGAGAAAAGTTAAACATTTTAACAAAACAAAAAAATATATATAAAATTTCCATTTTACATTTCAACTTTTATTTTTCTGGTTTTATTATATTCAAAAATTATTATAAACATTTTTATTTGTGGGGTTTAACAATTTCTGAGAAAAGCTTTGTTTCAAAGTGTGCCAGCACTGAGAATGGCTTGGTTGATTGTACAGTGGATGTACTGCAAGAGGTCGTCACACCCCTAGTGGTCACTAATCTACTGTACCACCATGTACTTTGAGTACTGTTCTGCAGTGAGTCCAGGTCACACCAATGGTCTATCAGGACCTTTGTCCTCTCAGGACGTGATGCGTTCACATCTCCCTGTGAGGTTGTAATAAAAGGTGACCAGTCTGTCCCTTCAGGTCTTCCTCGGCCTCCATAACGCCCGAGACAAACGCCTGGCGACAAACCGCTCGGTTGAGGAAATCTTCCTCCATCCAGACTTCCAACCGAACAACTACAACAATGACATTGCCCTGCTGAAGCTGAAGGACCGGGTGGAGCTGAACAAAGTCATCCGTCCAGTCTGTCTCCCTCCAGCTCAGAACACGGTGGGACAAATACTACTGTTATCCCTAGTACCACAGTAAATACTCAGGTTGTACAGAAATACTGTAGGACATGCTGAGCTTTTTTCTTCCAACACAGAGATCTGGAGAATTTAGGATGTTCTTATAAGGTTGGGACATAAAAGTGACCACAGGTTGACCTTTGACCTCTCTGTCTTGCTCAGGATGACCCCCCCACACCTCTTCCCAACTCTCTAGGCATAATTGCTGGCTGGGGCATCTCTAACCCCAATTCTTCTATGTCATCCTCCCATGGGGACCCCCCCACGCTAACCTCTGACCCAGCAGCGACCGCTGACCTTGGGGTGACCTCTGACCTTCTCCAGTACGTGAAGCTGCCGGTGGTTCCCCAGGATGAGTGTCAGGCAAGCTACACCTCACGCTCTGTCAACTACAACATCACCAACAACATGTTCTGTGCCGGGTTCTTCGAGGGTGGAAGGGACACATGCCTTGGGGACAGCGGGGGGGCATTTGTGATGGAAGACCAGGACAGGCAGAGGTGGCTGGTGTTTGGGTTAGTGTCCTGGGGTGGGCCAGAGGAGTGTGGGAGTCAGAGGGTGTACGGGGTCTACACAAGAGTGGCTAAATATGTGGAGTGGATACAGAACCACCTTCAGACTGCCCCCTGATGGTGAGACATATCTCAGCTGAGACTGACTGAGGACGTCGGCTCACAGCGTGATGGATGAAGGGAACTGCCACAGTCTGTTGGCATTATGTCAGATTCAGATCTTGTAACTACATCATCACCTTCTTCTTAATATTAGAGACAGCTCATGCTAAAGGAGTTTTCAGAATAAATGTGCAGGTCTTGATTTTCCGATCTGTTCCATGCAGATTCTCAGGCTGAACAAACAAAGTTTCCAAGCTGAGCCCCCATTTCAGAGTTAATTTGATAATACACAGTATGCATCTAGCATTCAACACAGAAGCAGGAAAAACTGGTATGAAACAAGAGGCACAATGTTCAGGCACAGATACAGAGATAAAAATTATAACAAATAAAATGCAAAATCAAAGAAGAAATGTGTGCTAGGCTATATTTTACTAGGGCAGAAATCCTCGGTTGTCAAAGGTTTAAGTCTTCATCGGTTAATGTAGACCTGCATTTTGTTCAGTGAAAGGGTTAGGTATTAGGGTTAATGTCTGTGTTTGGTAAAGTGAGACAGAGCTCAGTATTGATCCTGTCATTGATCTGCACTGCTACAGAGACACTATGCCAACTGGACCTGAGCAGCTCCACCTGCTGAGGTTCACTTCAGCTAATGTTCCTGCCTCTCAATGTTTTATGTTCTACTCCATTCACTCACAGAGGAGAAGCCATCACGAGTCTTTTCATGAAAGACCTGAAGTAAAACACTCGGTAACACATTTTCTATCCCAGAATCCTCTGCTGTGTTTACTCACTGCCTGTCAACATCTAGATACAGACTGCAGTTCATGTGTCCAATCGAATATCTCATTACTAGATTTATTCTGCTAGACAGGATAGCGCCACCTTCAGGACAAACATTAGTTCAGAACAGAAAGTCATGTTTCAAATGAACTCTGCAGCCTGTGGGAGGCGCTAACAGGACCAAAGCTGCCTCTACAGGGTAACAACAGATGATCTCAGATGAGAAAACAAAGAGTGAAGTCTAAGTTTTTATCCAGAAGAAAATCAGATCTAAACATATTCTCAATTTCTGTTCTGTTGTTAATGGACATGTATTACAACCTCAAAACAGAAAAGCTTGGGACAGCATGTAAAATCAAAATTAAAACTGTGAACAGTGATGTGTAAATCACCTGTGTTACTTTGAAACCAATCCAGCAGAACATTACTTTGTTCAAAATAAACACTTCAATCCTGATGCTGCAGCACGTTCCAAACAAAGTTGGGACAGTGAAGCGTTTACCACGATGTGATGTTGCCGTTCCTTTTCACAACACTTCACAGACATTTAGAGACTGAGGACACCAAGTGATGAAATGTGTGAGTAGGTGGACATCTAAAGTAAAATGCAGCCACCTACAGTAAAAAGAATCAGTGTACAACATTAATATTATACAGTATTACGATGTAGTTGATAATGTGTCCGAGTCACTTTTGAGGTCGATTGTATTGGATTGCATTATATTTAGAGGTGTGTTTTAGTGTGTTGCCCTGTCGTCCATGTATAGAAAGGAAGGCTGTCTCTAATGTGGACAAAACAACAAATTAACTTCAGTATAATGCAGATACTAATATAACATGTAAGGGTGTCACCATAAGGAAGCAGTTGGACTGTAAAGTCACAAAAGTGTGTGGGACCTTTGCCCTGGGCACTGACACGACCACAGACCATGACAGACCCTGGCTGTGGGACGTTTTGCTGCCAACAGTCTGGATGGGCCTTTTCCTCTTTAATCCGGAGCACACGTGAAGCAGTATTTATGGATGTAACTACGTATTGTAGTGGCTGACACAGGTGAGGCACAGTCATCCTGAGCCCCTGTGGTTATATCACTGATAGAAGAGAGACGATTCTTGACGTGGTGTCGTCTGAGGGATCTGAGAGCTCGGTCATCCAGCTCAGGCTCAGACTCCTTGAATCTTTTAATGATGTTCTGCACCGTAGAAGGTGACAGATCCAAATCCCTCCTATTTTTCTTTGAGGAACATTGTTTTTAAACATTTCAATGATTCTCTCACACATATGTTGTCAAACTGGTGGTCCTCGGCCCATCTTTGCTCCTAAAGGGCTCGGCCTTTCCTGGATGGCACTGTTGTACCGAGTCGTGATGCGGTCACCTGCTGACATCACCTGTTTCACATGGAATCCTCATTTCTTTGTTTTACCTCATTACTGGCCCTGAAATGCATCTGGCCTGACTTGGTTGGACTGTGCTGCAGCATCAGGATTGAAGAGTTTACTTTGAACAGAGAATAAAACTGATGAGGTATCACATCAGAGAATGTGCTGCTGGACTGTTTTCAATGTAACACAGGACACAGATGATTTATAATCACTATTTTAGGTTTTAATTTTGACTTTACATAGAGTCCAAGCTATTTCTGATTTGTGGTTGTAAAGTACACTGTAGTGTTTCTTCACCGATATGCATCATATGTCACTACTGTAGTACTTTACTTGCATATGAATTATATAAAAGGTCTTGTTAATGAATTGAAATAAACACGTTTGACAAAGAAAGATTTGTTCAATGTTGCTGTGATAGAGTCAGAACGATTTTATACATTATGATGTAGGTACTTCAGAAAATAAAGACCTGATGTACAGAAACTAGAAACATGATTAAGTAGTAAAAGTCTATAACTTCTTGTAAATCTCTGGGGTGGATGTGAATTTCCTACTCATTTACAGCAGTGTGGTGACGTTAACACACAACCTAATGAGCAGCGATTCATTCTCAATGTCTAGGCTGTAGTGATGCTGACTGGTGAAAAGCCGGACCCTCTGCTCCTGGCTGGTCTTTGGTGCCACTGAGTGTAATGTCTGTGTTGTGTTACTTCACATTCAGCAATGGACACATTTGCTCAAAATGACTTTGAATAAACAAATTCAAGGACAAAGATGTCGTCAAACATGACAAGCTCCTTCCTTCCTGAGGAACAGCTCAGTGTCGGTATGATTTGCCACGGTTCTGCTGTTGAACCCAACATGAACCCACATTCTGTCAGGACATGCCGGGTTTAGCCCGGCTCTGGCCTCTCAGGCTCACAAATTTTCAGACAGGGTTCAATTAAGTGACTTTCAAATGTTTCGTACAATGAATTTTCTCTGACTGGCTCAATCATCAGTGTTCATGTGGTTCAGGTGGCTGTAGCTCACTCACACGTTAGCATGCTAAGCTAAATGGTCAGTGGTGGGTAAAATAAAGAAAAATAAAAGCCCCTGCTCTTCAGGTTTAGGTCTCCAGTGTGGTGCTACCAGATGGGTTCAGTCAGGTCTTAAAGTTGCAGGCTGGGTTCAGGTTTAAGTTTAGGCCTGTGCTGGACTTGAGGACATGCTCACCAGTAACGGTGAATCTGCAGGTGCACGCATAATCTGCTGCAACACATGTTGGATTCGTTAATATGGACTGTGCATCAAACTGCAGGAAACACATTCTTCACATATTCTCTGAATCATACGTGTTAACAGTGTTGACCTACGTGTTCTCACGTTTGGCACTTCAAACTGATGTAGACACAGACCCCTGCAGACACAGGACATGCCACCACTTTTTCCAAAAATCATGTTCAAACAAGGTTTGCACCGTAATTTGTTCGAATTAATTGCCTCAGCACCTGATGACTTCACCTGGGGCCAGAGACCAGCCAGCAGCAGACAGTTACTTTACTACATGTTTTCACCAGCAGATGCCAGATGTCACACAGTTTGATGAATGCAGCTTCTTCTTCAGTGTATCACCATGGAGTTCAGTATCCCACAATCCACTGGTGCTGCTCACTGGTATGATAATGATGATCCTCTGAAGTTTGTGTTAACGCTCACCACCACCTTCACCAGTCTTCATCCGTCAGCCGTGGGTCCTGTTCTGCTCCTGTCTCTCCATGGTGTCTCTAATCCAGCTCAGGAAGTTCCCCAGTCTGGTATAAACGCCGTACTTCCCCTTGACAGCACATTGCTCCCCCCAGCTGACAACTCCGGTCAGAAACCAGGTCCCTCTGTAATTCACCACAAAGGGTCCGCCACTGTCTCCACTGCAGGCGTCCTTACCTGTGCCCAGGTAACCTGCACAGAACATGTTGTCTGTGATCACCTGCACGAGACAAACACAGGTTCAAACAGGCCGGGATAAACACATTTTACACCTGATTCCCATGACCTTAGTCTCATTCTTCAATAGGCGAAACAGTAACCCAGCAAATAGACAGAAGAGCCGGAGTCCTACTGAGTACCTCTGAAACCACAGTTTTCTATAAGAACATCATTTCTATGGCCTGCTCTTTTATTTCAGACGTGAAGTCTGAAACATCAAAGTAACACCAACGGTAGCTGCTGCTGTCAGATTGTTGTTTGCAGTAAAAGGTTAATGTTTCACAATGAAAGATAAAAGTAGCACGAAGTGTGAAAGTATGCAGCTACAGTACTTTGGTAAATGGACTTAGTTCCTTTCCACCATTGCACTGCAGGTGAACTGTGTTCTCTGGATGCTGTCAGATGGAGGTGGTCACCTGTTCAGTTGAAGCGGTGCAGTCTTTGTAGCTGACCACTGGGAGCACCACCTTCCTGAGGAAGCGGGAGGACTTGCCCAGGTAATGAGTGACCCCCCAGCCCGTCACCACCCCTCGGTTCTCCTCCTGGACACAAATACCAACACTCTGATCTGCAGCTCTGTACTTCTGCAGACACACCAGTGTAAATGACTGGGCTTTAAATAAAGTTATGGTCAGGGAAAAAATTATTTGAACCCCAGCTGATTTTGTAAGTTTGCTCACTAACAAAGAAATGATCAGTCTACAATGTCAATGGTAGGTTTATGTGAACAGTGAGAGACACAACAATAACAAAAAAATCCAGAAAAATGCATTACAAAAAAAGTTATACATTAATTTGCATTTTCATGAATGAAATAAGTATTTGATCCCTTTGCAAAACGTGACTACTCGGGAGGAACTTGTCAATGATCTCAAGGCAGCTGTGACCATAGTCACCCAAAAAACAGTTGGTAACACACTACGCCGTGAAGGACTGAAATCCTGCTGTGCCCGCAAGGTCCCCCTGCTCAAGAAAGCACATCTACAGGCCCGTTTGAAGTTTGCCACTGAACATCTGACTGATTCAGAGGAAGACTGGGTGAAAGTGTTGTGGTCAGATGAGACCAAAATCAAGCTCTTTGGCATTAACTCAACTTCAGGGCATTGAAAATAGGTTGTGGTTGGGTATTCCAGCATGACAATGATCCAAAACACACGGCCAAGGCAACAAAGGATTGGCTCAAGAAGAAGCATATTAAGGTCATGGAGTGGCCTAGTCAGTCTCCAGACCTTAATCCCATAGAAAATCTGTGGAGGGAGCTGAAGGTTCGAGTTGCCAAACATCAGCCACGAAACATTAATGACTTGGAGAGGATCTGCAAAGAGGAGTGGGTCAAAATCCCCCCTGAGATGTGTGCAAACCTTGTGGCCAACTACAAGAAACGTCTGACCTCTGTGATTGCCAACAAAGGTTTTGCCACCAAGTACTAAAGCACGTTTTGCAAAGGGATCAAATACTTATTTCATTCATGAAAATGTAAATTACTTTATAACTTTTTTTGTAGTGCATTTTTCTGGATATTTTGTTATTGTGTCTCTCACTGTTCACATAAAACTACCATTGAAATTGTAGACTGATCATTTCTTTGTTAGTGGGCAAACTTACAAAATCAGCTGGGGTTCAAATAATTTTTTCCTTGATTGTACCTTCAGCAGATATTTAGACAGGTGGGTGTCAGGCAGGCAGGCAGGGATGGCAGTGGGGCCCCTGAGGACGGGCTGGGTGAGGTAGAGCAGTGCGATGTCACTGTCGAAGGTGAAGGAGTGGAAATGAGGATGGACGAAGACTTTGTCAATCTTTATCACCTGCTCACCTGGATCGGGACGCTGATTATCGTAGTCTCCTGCAGAGAGGTGACGCTGACCTGGATTATTAGGCTTCACCACAGCAACAGGCATTTCGACATGAAGTAACAGTTGCATAGAAACACAGCCATACAGCAATGCACACAGGTGATATAGTCACCTATAGTGACGTGGTCTGCAGGCTCCTCAAAGCAGTGAGCAGCAGAGACCACCCAACGATCAGAAACCAGAGTCCCTCCACAGAAACCGTAGCCATTGGCCCTGCGGATCAGAACCTGAACACACAAACAAAGAGAATTTAAACTTGCATCAGCTGTTTTTTTGTTCACTTAGTCCAGAAGCAACAGATGGACATAGGTCTGATCATGTAAATGTCCCAGAACTTTCCCCAGTTAAATAAACACTGGTCTGAAAGTCCTAGTCATCTAAGCTCCTAAGTCATCTAACCAGCACCTGATGGAAACCTCTGGCTCTCAGTGCTCCACTGCGCTCCCCAGCTGCTCTCTGACTGGCTCCGTCTGTTTGCTGCTGAGCAGGTCAAGGACAGCGGCTGTGTAGAGCGTCTCCTCTGTGAACAGCTGCTTCCTGCTGCGGCCCTGGACCACGCTGTGAGGGTGGTGATGGTAGCGTTGTGGTGTTGCACTGAACACTGAGCTGAGACTCGCTGTGAAGCTGCACAATCAACTAAACAGTCGCTACCACACACCTGGACATTAAACTCGGAGGGACTCAAGGACTCACAGCATTCTCAAGAACTCCTCTCACCCTGCTCACAAACTGTTTGACCTCTGGGAGGCACTTCAGGAGCCTCTGGACCAAGACCAGTAGACTCAGGAACAGCTTCTTCCCCACAGCTGTCTCCTTACTGAACCCTGTCGCCCATTGACCCCCCCACTGCCTTGTTCTATATCACTACACACACCTCACCCCTTCTCATCTCTCCTCCTGGGACTAATGCAATACACTTCTGTTACCTGTAACACTGAAGTGATCTGTTAATTTGCTTACTCTACTCACAGAATACTGCTCTGTATTCATTTGCACACTGTTCATATGCTGATACTGTACATTTATCTTTATCTTTGCACTATTTACATCCATTGAACTGTTCACTCATGGAACTTGTCTTTTTATTCTGCACCGTTTCATTCCATCTCATCCCATTGCACTAGTGTTCCATAAGCTAATGTACCTTGTCCATTACTTGTAATTTGAATCCATAGTCTGTTGTACATTGTACATTACCCTACATACATACATACATTACTGTAAATATCAATTGTACATATCTATTGGCAAATTAGTTCTGACTGTACAAACTAGATACTGTGCACTGCTGTTATTTCACTTCTGGTTAGATGCTAAACTGTTTCATTGCCTTGTACTTGTACATGAGTAATGATAATAAAGTTTAATCTAATCTAATCCAATCTAATCTAATCTAATCTAATCCAAACGCTGGTCTCACATGGTTTCATACACAGGTGTTATAATGTATAACAAAAATACATTTAAATACAACATCTTTCTTACCTGCCATGGACTCCGTCCTAGTTTTTCCACAGTTCCTCCCACAATACGAGACATCGCCCGCTCACCTTCTTCTTCACCCTCCTCCTCCTCCCCCCCCCCCATCAGCAATGTGCTGTTCACTCCTCTCTCTCTGATTGTTGTGTTCTCTATATTCTCCCCAGACTTTGTCAAATTCAGTTCAGGCCACCAGCTCTCTGTGACATTGCCTTCCTCAGTCCACAGAGATCGGGTCGAGAACGCCATCTCATACTGCTGCTGGCCGCACGGCACCATCACTGCAAGGACAGGACCCGCCATCAACACAAGACCACATGCATGCGATGACCACTATAATGCGCCCTAACCCTAACTACTGTGTAGAAATTATAGTAGTATCAGTACTATTATATACAGTAGTTATTGGCATCAGTAATATGATGTGCAGTAATTACAGTAGCACTAGTTGTACGAGTTGCTGTTGGTACAAAAGTAATTGTGCACATAAATCAGAATCTGCTTTATTGGCCAGGTGTGTCGAACACACGAGGAATTTGACTCTGGTACATCAGCTCTCGATGTGCATGTACGTGCAAGGGGCAAATAAACAGTAAACCAACATAATGGTTTGAATGAATGTACAGCCCCCTCCTCTGCTCTTACCCGGGAGTCTTTGCAGTATTACATTAGTAACAGTGATACTATGCACTGTGTCACTAGCACAGTATTTGTAGACCTGCAAACTTATTACCCGTCTGAGAGCAGCTGTGTCCATCAAGCTCCAGTTTGAATCCATCAGCGCAGCCACACTGAACTCCAGCGCCACCTGTCAGGTCTCTGCAGTACTGCATACAGCCTCCGTTTCTATAGCGACACTCCGACACCACTGAACACACAGTACAAATATAATCATTACTACAGTGGTGTATTCAGTTCAGGTTATTTATATCTAATGTAAACATCTGGACAGAAAATTCATTGCTTCTGATTTTATATGTGAAGAATCTAGAAGATTTTAAAGACTAAAACAAAAGAGCAGTGTCCCCAGGACACCGCCCTGAGGGGGTCCACAGATCCAGGATCTTGGAAAGAGTCCCACTAACATTCACTAATGAACGAGACAGGTAACGTTTACCTGAGTCACAGAGATTGCCGCGGTACTGCGGAGGACAGAGACACACAAAGTCTCCTCGCTCCAGAGTGCAGATCCCTCCGTTCAGACAGGGGTTTGTCCGACAGGGGTTCAGATCTACGACACACAGGTGAGACACCGAGATGTCCAGGTGTAGTGTGATGTCATCAGGTAGACTGACTGAAGTTTTAATTTAGATGAGCTGACATGATTTCAGGTTATGTTTTACTGAATCACATGAGAAAGTCTGGATCAGGTTTACATCAGTCTGAAATAAGTTCGTACAAGTTTTAAGTGAATCATGGTCAATAAGGTCACACCTGAATCTATACAACCACACCTCAGCAGTAAACCTGGCAGCAACGTTAATGTGAATCATCATTTTGCTTCACAATTACTGATGATGAAAGTCAACAATGAATTTACTCACTTATGTATCTGAACCAAAACTCCAGCTGTGGGACAGAAACATACAGATCTGCATCAAGTGTTTCTTATTATGCACTGTTTTTTCATTATTTCCAAAGAAAACATTAAAGCATGGTACAAACAAGATAGAACAAAAATGCTGGCAATAAGTTCCCCCACATTCTCCAGCCCAGAAAACATCAACAAATAATCACAAACAATGCAACAAATCAACATCCTGCAGCACAAAAGTCAGTAAAACAGACTTCTAATTAAGAATCCCATTCATAATAAAATAGTTTGACAGGCTGTAAAAGTGGCACATAACTTCCAAAACGAAAACCCAGCCATGATCGATTTGGCCGCTTGTTTGGATAAAACCTGAGAAATGTGGAGGATAAAGGATTGTGGAGTACAATAAACTGTAAACATAACCACTGTATATATCAACCTTCTGCTCTAATGTATACATACATATGCATAAACTCTCTTTCATTCTTTTCCTATTTTTAATCACACAAATTTGAATGCACATAGTTTTAAAAAAAAATATTTGTTTTTAATTTTCATTGTTGGTTTCCATTTCACAATCTAGCCACAGGGGTTTCAAGCCAGTGACTTCTGTGCCGGTCCCAAGCCCGGATAAATAGAGAGGGTTGCGTCAGGAAGGGCATCCGGCGTAAAAACATGCCACATTTAAACATGCGAATCATCAGTGTGAATTCCATACCAGATCGGCCGAGGCCTGGGTTTCCATTTCCCCTTGCCTTACAACCACACCACGGTCAAACATCCTGTATGTTCAAACATACTTGGCCATTAAAGATGATTCTGATTTGGTTGTATTAAAAAAGAAAGCACACCACTCTGGGACCCTGTCTGTGATTCCAGAGACCTATACGGGGGTCCCAACCCTCAGTGTGGATCACAGTGGTGGTTCTTACCGTCTTCTCTTTGGTCTGGAAGATCTCGGCAGCCTCTTCCTGAGAACAATTTTCCTCGTAACACTCCCGCTCCAGGTTTCCAGGTAACATCTCCTCCAGGAAGGCGTTGGCTCGACGCCTCCTGAAAGAGGGGGAGGGGGAGGAGCGGAGGACCTGACCCGCGGAAGACTGAACCAGGAACACTGAAGGGTGGACAAAGTACATAGAGTACTATAACCTTTATTACTGACATATCTGATCCTTTAGTTCTGAAGATTGTGACTGTGTTTTTAACCATGACAGGAGATAATCACGATATTAACCTGTCTGTTATCACTGCCGCTGCTGTTTGAGTAATAGTTCTCTGCACTTCTACACGTGTTGCTGATACCACGAACATTATTCATACTGGCACAATAAAAGATTTTAATGTTTTGTTGTGAGACTTTCACTGTTGATGGAAATGCTCTGCTCTTTTGCAGTGGAGGAGAAGCATCCTGCACACAATGAATGTTTCCAGTTATTCAATACATTTTGGCAGAAACACAAACAGGTTATCAATATTCTGTGAAGAGGCTGTTTTCAGTCCAGAGGAGGTGAAGGAGACAGGCGTAGAAGAGGAAGAGGTTTAATGCTGATGTGTTCCTATGATTCTAAACTATAATTCATAATTAGAGCTTCAGCTAAAACACTGAAGATGCACCTGTTCACATCTGCTTGCTGTGGAGTGCAGGCAGTAAAGGAAAGTGAATAATTCATGCATTGTTCTAGTTATTATTATTATTACTGACCTCGACTGGATGGGGTGAGTGGGGAGAGAGAGAGAGAGAGCAAAAAAAAAAAAGAAAAGGAACAAGACAACAAAAACAATACGACTTCTCTGCACACGGGTTTGCTCAAATATTGGGAGGGACATGTCTCTACTGTCCATGTGCAAAACTACGCCCTTGGTGAATACAGAGTCAGACTGAGAAGTGAAGACTGACACAACAAATACTGACTGTTGTCTACCACCATGATGTTGACTCACCTGAACACTGGATGAGATCAGAGCAGAAGAGCAGAGTGCAAAGGCTCAGGGTTGGAGCTGAGGACAGCAACATGTTTCTGTTTGAGGACAAACAACATGCACATGTGATGGCACCATCAGGACAAACCTCACTGTGAATTTCATTTTCAGTTTTATTTGTGTAGTACCAATTCACGAAGGGGGGGGGATGGGGTTTGTTGGGTTTTCCTTATAATAGTGTGAGGTCTAGAACTGACTATGTAAAAGTTTGAGTAGGATGGCCTTCCTTTTTTCTTCTAGTGTTCGTTATGACTGAAAAAAAAAAAAAAAAAAGAGGTCTATCAATGTGCTGCTTCTGTTTTGAGATCACTAGAAACCTAGGTTCTGTATCAAAGGACCCAGAGAAGAGTCCTGACCCTGAAGTTGAGAAGCTCTGCATTTCTGTGAACATAACAACTAATCACAACCTGCCGGACTGTGAAGCGACAGTCCTACCTGTGTCTCCTGTCTTTTCCTGCGAGGACGTCTGGTCTCTGTCTGGATGTAAAATGGAGAACAGAGCCAGCGAATCAATGGTTAAACTAAACTCAAATATTGACACAGAGACGTCACATGTACTGACCAAAAGGTCTAACACCAACACCAACAAAAAAACTTTGTGGAGATCACAGACCTGTGTAAGAACAGCCGGCGAATGGTCAAAGGTCACAGCAGCGGCGGATGATCCCAAAGAAAAAGCAGTTGGAGAAGTGGCTCAGAGACTCGCTGGTTATCAAACAGGCGAAAGTCGCTGCCTGATTTTGACATTGATGAGTTTCCACTCAGGTCAGAGACCAAGCAGAAATAAAGCACCGATCTTCACTTTAAATGAAACGTGACAGTCAAACAGTACGCCACTGATCTGAGTACATGTACTCATGTACAATTCTGGATTCGTTTCCATGATTAGTTTAAAGGCTTAGCTACTTTGCAGATGCAGATCAATAAGACAAAATGTAATCGATTAACTACGCAAGATGGTGCCCACCGCCCACGTGTTTGCACGTTCCACTCTCGAAACCTCAATCCCATCCTCTACACCCTGTTCACCTACGACTGTGTCACCTCCCACAAAGACATCATCCTGAAGTTCGTGGACGACATCGCAGTGATAGGTCACATCACTGGTGGGGATGAAGCAGTCTACAGGAGGGAGGTGGTCGGGCTGGTGTCATGGTGCAAGGACAATAATCTCAGCCTCAACACAGACAAGACGAAGGAGATGATAGTGGACATGAGGAACTGGCAAAAAAGGGTGATCAACAACACTGTTCCCACTAAAAGTGAATTTATGTATCAACACTGTAATGCCTTTTATATGTTTATGTTTGATATGTATGCATCTGGTGCTGGCCTGGCCTGTTTGTCAAATTTTAAAAGTCAATGTGGCCCCTGAGCCAAAACGTTTGCCCACCCCTGGTCTACACCCTGTTCACCCATGACTGTGTCGCCTCCCACGAAGACAAAATCAGCACTACTGCTATGGACCACAAGCGCCTGCAGAGAGTGGTAAAGACTGTGGAGAAGATCACCAGGACTCCACTGCCCTCTCTGCAGAGCATTTACCACCACAGGGTGCGTAGGAAAGCTGCCTCCATCCTCAAAGATCCCACCCACCCCCAGCAGGGACTGTTCACCTCCCTACCATCTGGCTGGAGGTTCAGAAGTGTGACATGCAGGACCTCTAGACTGAAAAACTCTCCTAAACAGTTGAGCTGAGTTTGTTACCAGGAAATACATCATGTACTGTCAACGTGTACTGTTTACATTCTCAGTTTGCACATGCATAATTGCACATTCAAATCAAATTATATTTGTATAGCACCAAATCACAACAAAAGTAATCTCAGGACACTTTACAGAGTAAGGTCTAGACCTTACTGTTATCAATATTATTACATAGGGAAAACCCAACAAATCCCCAAACATTGACTGTGAATAAAAACGCTAATTGTCATAGTAAAAAATTAAAATTGAGGTAATAATAAATTGATGGAATTTTTAGGACCCAATCCACCAAAATGACAATGAGTCTAGCGTAATCTCTGTGTTACAGTTAGAAGGTTTAGAACACAAAATAGTGAGAGAAGCGTTAACTGTGTTTAGTGTAGACCTTGGTGACGACTCAAGGATGGGGACTCAACTCAGATTCAACTCTGATTCTTTGGCGATTCAGACTAACAAACACAGGACTCGAACTGGCAAAAGCACAAATCACTTTACCTTTTTTATGTATCCATTTAAAAAGATATAATTATGGTATTTACTGAATAAAAATGCCTTCATTGTTGGGCAAAAATTTAATTGTGCAGATAATCCAGTTAAAAACACCGGAGTACATGACACTTTAAGGCAACAGTGGTTCAGTGGGTAGAGCAGTAGTCTCCTAACCAGAAGGTTGAAGGTTCAAATCTCAGTGCATGTCGAAGTGTCCTTGGGCAAGACACTGAACCTCCCCTGTTGCCCCCGATGGTTAGAGCCATCAGTTGAGTTGGCGCCGGAGATGGCTGCCATCGGTTCTGTACCAGAAACAAATTCTTGTGTGTAACATACTTGGCCAATAAAGGTCATTATCATTCAGTCAGTCAGTAGAATTAAGCCCTAATTTGGGATGAACCCATTGGGTTTTTAGCTGTTTCGGTTAAGCTGAGTCTTCAGCCAAACCTCATCGAGCTGCAGCGATGAAGAGAAGAAACAAGTCTCGTGTCTGTACAGTGGAGACATCAGCTTTATTTCCTGCATAAGTCTGAATGCTTCTCTGCACACAGCAGAATGTATTTACACTGACAGCCCTGCAGGGGGCGTATGTACAAAGAGGTATGACAGCATACAGTATTGTCATTAATGGATAAATTACCATAAATACACAGAACGAAAACAAACTGGGGATGATTAATGTGGGTCAAACAGCAGAGGATGAATCAATGCCCTCAAAGAAGGCACTCGGTCACTGATGCTCACATTCACTAAAACACTAGTCAGAAAATAAAATGATCTGCAACAGAGAGCAGTGGGAAGCTAACAAACACCAACATGAAGTCTAACCAGACATCCGTTTATGTTTCAGAAACCTTGACAAAGTTAAGATCACGCAGTTGTCCTACACGTTTCATCTTTGTAAACTAAAACATTAGCTTCTTACAGAGCCTCCTGAGTCCTGGAAGTACTTTTTAACCTCAAGTGTCCAGATGAAAACTTCATGTACAAGGGATGAATGTTCTGTGAGCCCACTGGTCCGTGTCCTGATCCACAAAGTGATTCTTTTGCAAACACAAACAAGACAATAACTGTGTGTACAGGTGATCTTCATCTGAATATGAAATATCTGAATATTATGAATAATATATTTCGCTGTTAGTCCTTCAGACACAAAAGACAACTTTTTATGCAAAATATGGGTGGCCTGCAGAGCAGGTACCTGGTCCCTGCCGTGTGCTCAGGTCCCACACATCAACTTGGAGCCCACAATATTGGTCATGCTAATGACTCATGTGCACAGCTTTACAGCCCTGGTCTATAAGCAGTGCACACTAGACACAGACGTCTGAGGGCACGACAATAACTAGTGCACATGAGATACAGACCGAGATATTAAATACACCAGTAAATATCATGATCTGTATCTTGTGTGCACATGATGAAGAAATGTATAATGTTTTGGGACTTTCATGGACACGGCCTGTGTAGACAATAAATCAGTTGTACACAGGAAAAATACTCTTTGGTGACATCAGAGGCTGAAAAGTAATAATTCGGAAACCTTCAGCTTTAGGCTGCAGCTTTGGAGAAACTCATCATATTTACACAAATAACACTTAATCACTAAAGGAAAAAGAGCCAATATATGCCGAGGTGATAACAGCTGGAAACCCAGCTGCAACGATGGAAACCAGCAGAAATAACCTCAGACTTTCACCCACTTGAAGGTGAATGTTACACACTACTACGACTGAACATCAAAGTCTGAAACCAAATGGAAAAACTGCCTGATTCACTACTAAACAGGCTTCTCCTCTGACATGTTTTTGTCCTTGTCCAGACTTGACAGTTCAGTGTCTGCTGCATCAAAGCTGCTCAGTATTTGACTTCAGAACAGGGAAACAACTGAAAGTCGTGATGGAAGAAGGCCAGGCTGGTGTAACCTTTCACTCAACCACACAGCATCACTGGGCTGCTGACACCCTCTTAGACGAGCTCCCTCCCCAGGGTCTGGGAGCTGTTTAGGAGGAGGGGACACCACGTGGCGGGTCGGGCCTCTCCTGTCAAGGTCAGGGGCAGACCCTGAGCTGCTACAGGCCCAACGATCAAAGTAAGTTAGGATTAAAAAAAAACAACAAAGGTTAGGCTTAACCAAAAGGCACAGGTACAACATCACCAGTACACTCCTAGTGCCCCCCCCCCCCCCCCCACCACCACACAAACC